TGACTGTCCATTTTTTTCCTATGAAACCTTTGGTCACAGTTTTTGTTAGTACATTGAGCTCTTTGCATCTTTCAATAGTTTTTGCTCTAAATTTTCCACTATATGACAACTTCAGTTAGTTTGTTGGGTTGTGTAAATAGTCGTCCTGGTCACAATTTGTCTTGAGCCCTAGTTGTTAAGATCAGCCCTTTGCTGTATGATCTTTATTGTCAAACCTTAATTTCTTCAAGAAACTCCTGCAGCTATCGACCGCAACCTAATTGAAGGAAGCGTACAGTTCAGCCCTTCTCCAGTATAGTTGGTGTGCAACTGGCGTTTTCTTTAATATTTTTTATTCACCTTTTTAATTCGTGTCGTTTTTCTTTTCTAGACACATTCTTTTAGCACTGTTTATCAGGTTCTAGTCTGCTAAGATCAATACAAGGATCGCAAGTGTCTCTAAACCTTACAGGAGGACTGGCTTAAGAAAATTTTCGGTAGGGAGGCCTTTGTTTCTGAGTGTCAGTCTTTTTGACGCCAGGGCAGGTCTTAGACGTAGCCTTGCTAATTTGACTTAGAAATGCGAGCGCTGCTAGCCTTGTCAGGTCTGTCATCAGATGATATGATGCTGCCGAGTTATCCAAAGTGGTTAACCTGGTCAACTTGATCACTGAGAACATTGTTAGGGACATTAGAATTGTCTTTGATGTTGATTACTTTTGTTTTAGTTTTCTCAACAGACTTTTCCAATTGAACCAATCCAAAGATTTTGCCATCTCATTTGGTAGCATTTTCTTGGTTATCAGAGACCAGAGCAAGATCATCAGCGTATGCAATGTTTCTTTCCTCTCCACTAATCTTACATAGGACAAAATCAAAAAGGATGTTAAACAACAATGGACCAAAAACGCACCCTTGTCGCACTCCTCGGTTCACTACAAATGAGTTATCTTCATTGAGCTTAACGATCGATTGAGTTGAGCGTGGAGCACTTCAATGGCACTCATGATATCTCCTAGCACTCAAGACAATAAACAGCACTTCCATATCAAAAGCTTTATTCAGGTCGATTAAAATTATACAAAGAGGTTCAATGATTTCAATCTTTGTTTGAGGCAAACGTCCAATTGCAAAGATAGCTTTGCCGTCTGACACGTTGCTTCTTAACTCAAAAATTTGGATGAGGTTTTGGGTAGCTGCTTGTTTACCCTATTTGCAATGACCTTACCTGACACTCTTATGACTTGGTCAAGAAAGAAAATACTCGCGTAATTTTTCGGTTATGCTTTGCTTCCTTCTTTGAACAGATTTCGGCCCTCTAAGTTTGGGGAATTTTTTCTAGTCTGAGCCAGATATCAGTGATAAACCTTGTAAGTGGATTAAGAATTTTTTTTCTCAAGCAACTTGAAAAGTTCACTGGTTAGCTGAATCTCGCCAGGAGCCTCGCCCGCATTGTTTTATTTCAAAATTAGTAGTCTTTTTGCCCCTTAAAGAAGTCCAATATGCGCAATTGGACGTGACTTTTCAACAAACTTTTCCCCGCCGGTCTGTTTATACACGTATCCATTTTATGGCTTTTACTGACTTCATCTTTGCTCCTCCTCTCCAACCAAATCAAAAGAACACTACGAAGTGTCTCTCACAACACTTTGTACGTTTTGCGCATTTGCGGCGGAAGTGATTGATTTAAAATTCTTCCAGTCAGCTCTCCCACATCTTGTTTTGGTCTTAACTCCTCAAAATGTTGCCCTTCAGATTTGGTCTTTTAGATTTTGCAATTAACACCTCAGTTCTGTTTTTTAGAAGATGACTTTTTGTAAACTTTTTTTCTTTATAAACCAAATGATTCGCGGTGGCTAAAACTCGAAAAAAGTACTTCATTTTTTTCAGGTTCCGGTTCCTGTAACTTGGCATGGACATTGCACACCAACTCCGTGAGGGTGCTCTTGAAGTTCTCTATAGAGTCAGTGTGAGACAGGCGGTTATCTGATGTGAGGAAATTTAGTCTTTAGGCGGATTTCAGACAGGTATTGATTTTGGACTTTGAAAACTTTTCTGGGAATGTTTTCACTTTCAAACAACTTTCTGCTTTTCTCTTTCGTGGTAGGTTCACACCGAGTAGTTTTGCATGAACAGAGTGATGCCCACAACAAGCTCTGCAACTGGCTCTCATATTCCTTCAAGCCGTAATGTGATTGGTAAAGATATAATCGACGACTGCACAGGAGCCTCTGGGATAACGCCACGTTATAAGCTTATTGAAGATTTGTTGAAAAACAGGTTCACAATTTTAACATCGTGTGTCAAACGTAACTTTTCATCCTTTGAGTTTGTTTCTTACTCGGCATTCGGTTTATTGCTCTTTGCTGTTTCCTGCAAAAACATCACCGAAAACCAGAGTTTGTTAACCGATTTTACGGCTGGGTATGCCCTCTTTCAATTCTCTGTAGAGATCAGCATAGAAACAATTAACCCACTTTTGACTATTTTTCATAATCGGATTTTTTGTGACTGTGACAAATGACTTGTTTGAATGTCTCGCTACTAAAGCAACTTTTTAACCACAAGACCATATCTTGGTCGCTTGGGCGCTTGCGCCTGGTTGGTTTCATTTTCCTTAAATTGAAAATGGGAGCAAGTCCGTTTCTATCTTTTCTCCCGTGGTTACTCAAGCACACAATAGCATGATTTCTACCATGACCAGAGACTTCGTCGCTGTTTAGTTGGGTCTCGCAAAATTCCAGGACGTCAAAACTCCGCTCTAGCATAAATTGCTCTAAGTCGACTACTTCTATTCAATTAAAGGTCTTACAATTTCAATGTCCAAAAATCCACGATGCTGCCTGCTAATTAAACGTTGTCTCGAATCGGTCGCTCGTGTTTCCGATTGACTCACCTCATTGGTTTGGTTACCCTATTGTCGTTTTACCCAATCTCTGTTGTCCAAACGTAGATGGTTTGAAAGTCATTCCTTAGCCGCATACAAATTTTAGTCCTGGATCTGTCCTTAAGTGATCTATACGTTGCCTGGGAACATGTAGAACGTTGCCTGGTCATGAGGCTAAATTCGACTCCGATATTTTAAAGGAAGAGTTTCATTGAACCCTTCTCCTACATTGTTTCTTGCGAGTGGCGTTTTTTTTCATTCAGTTCTTTTAGTAGCATGTCGGTTTTCTTCTCTAGCTTTCGACACATTCTTTTAACACGTTGTGTAACCGCTTCCAGTCTACCAAGGTCGAATCATCTGATAACAAGAGTCTATAAAGATAGTCTTATCAGGTCTTCTATCAGATGATGTAGAGCTGGTGAGGTGCTCAAAGTGATTAACTTGATCAACCTGATCACTGAGCAGATTCATAGGGACATTAGTATTATCTTTGCCGTTGATTACAATACATTAGTGTTGATTGCACCAAAGTTTTGTAATCAACTGGTGCAGAGCATTTATAATGTTTTCAGCCATCATTGTCAGAGTTTGTGTGGTTCCGCATACAAGTTTTGGCTTTAACGTGCAATTATAGCGCATTATATTGTAGTTTTCGTGACAATCATTTATTTATGTAATTTTTTCTGCAACTATTTCAGAAAGTTTGATCGACTTTATTTCAATTTACGGATAATGGGTTGCAAGTCTTCAAAACCTGCATAACTGTAGTTTTTCTGGGCAATTTTCAAATTGCCAAACTTTGAATTGCACAAAAAGTTACCCAGATTTTGGGGCAAAAAAATCATTTTGTCATTTTTAGAAAAAAAAACTAGAAACACCCCATCTATACTTTTAGTATACGTAAAGATAAAATCTTAAAAGCACTGGTCGATTAAGGAAGATTTTAGAGGAAGGCTATTTTTTTTTCAAAAAACCATAGTATCTTCTACCAACATCCAGCGGGTTAATCAACGTTAAGAATAGCGCAAATGTAGACTTTTACGCTTAACTTATGATATAAAAATTTAAAACTATAAAGCACTTCAAACAACTTAATGCATCAATTGTCTATTAAATTGCATACTTTTTCCGTGAAAGACCGGTGAACAAGCTTGCTGTTTTAAAAAGTGTCATAAATTGTTCTCGATACAATTATTATTGGAAGAGTTATTATAAAAAACAATCAAATTGAAACTCTGGAGTTTTTGCTTAAAATGTATGAACTATAAAAACAACCTTTTATCACATTTTTTATGGAGTAAGACAAAAATATTTTGTTACACAAAATTAATCATGGTCCAACTGAAAATTTCGAGACAACTCGAAATCACATTTTTTTGTATCAAAATAAGGTTCATGCTGTTTTCTGGCGGTCATTAAGAAAATTTAGTAACTTTTGGAGATTTTTATCAAATATTGCAAGGTTCCGTTAAAATAACTAGCAAAATTTATGACTCTTGCAAAATAAGCCTTGTCTTGCAGTATGTGGAAGATTCCTATAAGTTGCAAGGTTCTTGTTAGATCGAGTAAGATATTACTATCTTATATGAATTAGGCAAGCGATGTATTTCAATACTCGCAGACTCGAAGCCAGAAAGACTTGAGCGAGAGAAAAATCCAGGACTACTCAGTCACCAACCAATGAAAAAAATGCTATTCTACAATCTTTTAACAATGATGGCGGTCCAAAAAAATTGATACTAAAGCCTTAGAATTAAAATTCTGTTGGCTGAAAGCTTTTTGAACAATTTGACTCCCTTGCCACCTAATAGTTTTTGGCACCAATTTGGAATCGGTCAAAATTTTTCAAAAAAGTGCCATACATGGCATTTTTGACAAAATTTTACAAAATCCTTCGGAGAGTGTCCTAGGAGAGTTTCAAAAAGGACTTTGGCTGACAAAAATTAGAAAAAAAAATTGGACAAAAAGTTTCGAACTTCTTTCGAAAATCTTCCCTTGAAAAAAACCCTAGACCCGTTCTTGGCCAATTCCGTGTGCCAATTTCTGATCAGCCTATAGGTCAAAACAGTTTTTGAAATGGTTTTTATTAATACTAAATTTTTTCAAGGACTTCATTTCAGACAGCAACATAAAAAACATAAGAAAACAACGGTAACCTTACGTTTTCAAGATTTAAGATCTACATAAATTAAATTTTAAGTTTAGATTATAATCCGATTAACAAACGTACTTCACTGGTTATGAAAGATAATTAGTGCTGATTATTAGTAAGCACAGTTCTTTGAGTAAATTTAATCATGGACCAAAGACACACAGACTACAGACTTTTAAACATTCATATGAAATTTCGTTTCTATTAATTAAAATCGTATGTTAATTTTATAACAAACAACTTTGGGGTCGCTTCGATTGGCTTTCATACAAAAACCATCACAAAAGATCCATACCTTTTGTAATCTGCTTTCCTAAATATATATGAGTTCAGCTTCCATGTTTGCATGGCGTTTATTTAGAGCATCAGATTTGTTGGTATGGTCTTGTTGGATATATGATACCAGGGAATCATTGTATGGCCTCCCCCACGTCCTCCTGACTGACGCTTATTTTGGGTATCTGAGTGAGTGATCCACAGTAGGTTGAGGTCTTGGAGCTAGGGGAGTCGTCTCCTGCTGCGAGTACCGATTCGTGGATCGCACATGCACTCCGGATGGCACTCTGAGGCCAAGTGCGACTGGACTGCACTCTGCTGGACCCCTCTGGTCCTCCGTCCGAGTCTTTCACCTCCAGAAGATCAACACTGGGTGAACCTAAGAAGACATGCATCTCTTATTTTTTCAAGCGGAGTAAAAAGACGCTGAAAATCGAAAATTTAGCCAATATTTTTTCATTCGACAACATTAAACTCCCAAGTTCTCACAGAAAATGACATCATTCGACTATATTGAACTCCCAGAAGACTAGTAAATCCTCTGTTGTGCAAAAATATTTTGTGCTCCGGGCACAACGAAAAGTTCCAAGTACCTTGTTAGGTCACTTTTTTAACCAAAAACTCACAAAATTATTCACTAAGGTTAATAGTTAATCTTCTTCGATTTATAGTTCCGTTTTTTTAGAAGAAAAAAAACAACAAAAAACTGTGACACTTAGGCATCAAACAATGCCGAAGCCACTACTATCTTAAAAGTTGTTGCTGCAATTGAAATCATGCGAAAAAAAAAATTTTCAGAACATTTTCTTAAAGTGATCTTAAAAAACATCTTCAGAACATCTTAAAGTGATTAAAAACGTCTCCTTCATTCATCTTTCAATGTGCTTTTTCAATTCATGTCCCCAGCAAATGTCTTCAGAACCTACCCTGTAACCGCTTGCTAATTTTTTATGATTAATTCTTTTGTTCTATCAGCTTTTAAACGCTTTTAAGGATTCCTTTGACACGCTAATTCACTCAATTATGCCAAGGAAACAATTTAATTGTTCATTTTGTAAAATTAACATGAATGAAAGATTTTGTTCATTCAAAAAAATACGCTAGCCACAAAACATTGGGCAAGCAACTTTTCGTGCCTCGTATCTAGAGAAATTTTGAAGGACACCAAAATCGACGAAGCCGCTCAATCTGCTCAGCTAGCCATTGCGGGAACTTCTTGATTGTTCATACTTTGAACTCTACCAATAAAAATAAAAATTCGTACGCCGCAATTTGTTGCAAAATAAAATCTATTATTAATGGAATTGTTTTCATCAAAGTTCTGCCACTTTTAGAAAAACTATCAACAAAGTTGGTGACGTTCGAGTCATTCAAAAATCGTTCGTGAAAAGGTTTCAATTTAATTATTTCCCATACGTTTGCGATCGATCCAGAAAGTATGGCTTTATTTTTTGATAGGCAACTATAATATAATTTTTATGATAGGAAACAAAAAAAAACAATTCAAATTTCTCATCAATTTAAAAGGATTACATTACGAAACTTAAAAAAAAAGTAAAATGAATAGAGAAAGGTGAAAATTAGTTTACATATTGCATGTTAAGATTTTTTGACTTACTATCGCATTTATTTGAACGCTACATAAGATACATCTCAAATAAGTTGATATTTTTAGCCTAAACAACCGCAAGCTAATTTCCGACAACCAGATTTGGTCAATCATTAAACAAATCAAGCGGTCAAAAGTAACTTGAGATTGTTTTGACTAATAAAAACTATATGTTGCGTTCAGATATGATAGTAAGTCTGAAAAATATAGAGTAGATAAGGTGCAGTAAAAGTTTCGCAACTGTTTGTTCACGCACAAGGAAACTTATATTCACTATCAGAGGGCCAGATCTTGCAAGATAACCATTTTCAATAGATTAAGGAAGCAACCGATTTTTACACTCTTAAAAACTTAAAACATTGAATCATGTTTTTTCAAAATGAATCAGGAAACATCAAACTGTGATGTGTTTCAGCTGTATCCATGTATAAAAGTTTTTTTCCTAAAAAAAATTGAACAAAACAAAAATATCTGGGCAGATTAAGTTTACTAGGCTCATTAAAATTGCCAAAATAAACACTAGTTTTGTATTCATTAAAACTACCATACACGATAGCTGAAACATTTGCTCTCATAGACGAACATTAAGAACTGTTTTTCCGATTGTTGCGTAAATAATTTCAGCATGATATTTTATTGCCCAAGTTCTCCACAAGGGTAATAAAATAATTATGCTATAATAAGTTTTTTGTCAAAGTTGCTGAACTTCATTTTCAATATTTCTGCGCAAAATCAGGCAGCATAAACAATCATAAAAATGGAACGATTGATTTATCGTTTTGCAATTTTTTTTTCAAGATGAAAATTTTTGAAAAATTTGACATTTGTATCTTTTTTTTTTTCAAATTTTTTTTCTAGTTATTTTTCTTCAAAAACTTGCAAACTTACCGAAATGGCAAACTTGCTTTACTTATTATGGCTCTTAAATATGCCTTCTAGCATTTCATTCTGACCCTTTTATCACACCTTGCAGAAAAAAAACGTGATCTTTTGAAAAAACTTTGTTTGTTTTATAGGACTTTGGTCGGAAAGTTTTCTGCTACTTGCACAGAAACCAGCTATTCTTGTTGAAATTTAAAAACGCGAAATACTAAAAAAAATTGTGCGTGCTATTAGAACATGAAGCTGAAAATATAAGTGCAAAATATTCAACACTCAAAATCCTTACAGTGTGTTTTGAAAAAAAAAATTATTGGATTCATGGTATTTTTTGCTGGACTCAAATAATTGTTGCGCGGTGGGGACGACCAAAAAAACCCAAATTCAATGGATTTTGCTCCAAATTTTGTTATTCATAAAGTAATTTGGAACAAATTGAAGGAAAAACAAAATAATCAAGTTTTTCTCCCATCTGCAAACGGTCTTGTATTTGAAAAATGATTACAAATTGAAAAACATTTTTAACCCAAGCCCAAAGCTCAAAAAAGATGTTTTGCCACCCGTCGTTAGAAGACCTTTGGGTGTTTGTATATCGCCGCTTGTCCAATTTGGGACGGATGAGTCGGGCGATTTTTAAAATTGAATATCAGACAGCCTAATACGAGGTGAAACTGTGTATTTTGTGAATTTCAAGCGGAGTCCGCAAGAAACCGAAATCAAATTTGCCCCAACATTGCAAGTTTTTTTTATTTTTTTTTCTGTTTTGGATTTCACGAATTGGAAGCTAAATGACTGTACTGCTAAAAACTGCTCCAAGCACAGGCGAATTTGTGGAATCTGCCACAAATTTTGCGGATCCAGCACCAAAACTTACAGATTCATGAGCAGTTTGCCAATTCTACAAACAAACAAACCTAATAGATGCGTATAGTAAAGATCCGCTGTCGTGGAATCAGCAACTGTAAGCCGAGTCGGCAAAATGTCACCGAATCCCCAAAGTTCAAACGGATTACGCATAATTTTGCCGAATCCGCTTACAAATTGCGGAATCCGTTTCTATTTGCAGAAAACGGAACAGCTAGCTATATTCGCTCGTTGCTGACAAAATTTACTTTACAGGTATTTGTGCGCGGAATCTACGGAAATTTTGTATAGCGAATCCACTTCATTTTTGAACATGTGCAAAGAACTGTTTTTCAATTTCAGCAGTAACCTACATACATCAAACTGTGCGCCTATGTAGTGATCAGTTTGGCCTCGTAATGCATATTTTGTTATTGCATCAATTGAAAAGTCTCCCTCGCACCGTATTGATCAATCGAGCCATCTCACCCAGAAAAACGGCAAAACCAACATAGGTGTTATCGAATCAAACACAAGCAAGGAATTGAAGTGAAGCTAGCATGTAGTTACATGATTGACTGATATTTTGTTTAAACGAGTGTCGAGAAAAAAAAATTGACAAAAATAGTAATTTCTTTTATTGTTTTTTAAAATTTGTTTTTGTTTGGGCGAGTATTATCTCAAAGAAAGCTAGTTACCAGGGCTCTAACTGAATACTTAAAATGAAAGTTTGTTTCCTTCGAAACCTTAAAATTTTACTTAACCGCTCATTTTTTACATTTGTAAAAGAAAAAAATCGGCTGCTTGTGCGACTAATTAGGTCATTTTTTCACTCTGATTTTTTTGGGATTATGATATTGAGATTTTAGAGTCCCTCATTCGTTGGAGAATCTGGTGCATGAGTGTTTTTAATTTAAACTAGTTTCAAGTGGTTATAAAATGCATCAAGTACCGTACTTATTGGGCTACCTCCCCATCCGCGCGGGAATGGTAGGGTTTACTCAATTGATCCTTTTTATTAACAATTTTTAAAGGCTGCTCAATTCAATCAATTCTGAACACTTGTGAACAAAAACTGTTGGAAAAACCATTTTGCGATAAGCGCAGTTTATAGGCAATGGATTTATATTCAGAATCATTCCCTAGGAACTCGATGCTTTATACCAATCAGGGGCTTTTTTCTAGTTCTGTTTCACAAATTTGATTTGGTTGATCGAACGTACTAAAGGTAATGGGGTGCCGAAAACAAGGAGTGTTCCGTTGCGTTTCGTCGAAAATATGCCTGCAGCGAAAGACATATTTTTGTCGAACAGACAATCTTCTGAGAAAAAATTAATGCTTTTTTGAACAATTTCAAAAAGTTTTCGTCGATACTTTCAAAAAATTTTGTGAAACAATTGACGCTGTTTTCGAAACCCATTTTACACGACCTTTATTACATCCTAACAGTGGTAAATAGTTGTTTCAGACAACATTTACCATTTACCAACTTCGTGGTAGAATATCAAAAACATAATTAACCACAGCAAAAGCCACTTGACCGATTAAAAACTTGAAAGAAACCAGCACCAATTTTGCTAGGAGAGTCTATTAACAAGTGAAGCATGTTTGTTGCCTAACCTGACGATGGGTTTGAGCTCTGAATGAGAGGGCTTAGTCCGAACGGCTTGCTTGCGTCTTCATCTCCGTCGCTGTAATTTTCATTTTCGTGGAATAGAGTGCCCCTCCCCAATAGCAAGTGTCTTTTCGGTAGGGGCATACAGAACGAATTTGACCTCTCTTGACTTCTAGTCCTCACCCCTAGAAGGGCGAATGAGGGGGAGGCATATGCGGATGCTTCCTGCTCCGTCTCTTCCACTCTGGATTCTCTGATTCCGGGCAGGGAGGAGCAGGATGATCTCCGGTTGGATAAGTGGGCTGCCAGATCGGTTAGTTTGGCATTGTAATCCTGAAAAAAAATATATAACGAACCCTCGCTTGGAAGCATCATTTTGAACTGCGTTTGAACATTATTTTTTTTCAAGAATAAACGGCTCACCAGATCAAGTAATCAACCCCCTCCCCTCTCCCAGTCTGTTTGGTTTCAAATATGGTTGGTCTGTCTCATCTTAAGAAAAGCCGACATTTTGATCCAAAAAATTTTCCCCGTCAAAAAATTTCTGTATGTAAGCCGCTAACTTTTAGGTTCTATTGGGCAAACTTTTTCCATAAAAAACGAAGCAAAATGAGCAGAGCTGCCGGAAAAAAAACAGGCTCTGATTTGGTTTTCTCGAGAAACAAACAGCATTTTTCCTAACAAAATTATTGGGGTTTCGTATTTCAGAAAAAAAAAACATTATTTTGCTTTTTTGGTTTTTCGCTACTTTTTCTGAAATAATAAAATCTACTCACGTGGGTTCTCTTGGTTGGCGATAGAAACTTGTCATTAATATTCGGCTGGGCTAGGCTACAGCTGGCCATTTGGTCGTCTACGCTTGAAGTTCCCATAGGGTCTGACTCTTTATTGCTTCCGAATCTGTTTAATGGGCCGCATTTGATCTCTTCTACTCCGCCGGTTGCTTTTCCAGCACTTCTCTCTTCTTTGGGCGTAGGCGACATTTGGGCTACATGTTATTGGTATTTTTCATCAGCCTAGCAAATAAAAATAACAAATTAGGCAGAAGAAAAAGGAAACCATTTTTCCGCACAGGCGAGATATTTTATGCGGTACTAAAGGCATTTATATCCTGGCATGCCATTAAGACGACCTCTAATTAGAAAAAGGAAGCTTTGAAGAAAAATACAAAGAAAAAACTGAAACTATTATGATTGAAACAATAATCGGAGTTTAATATGAAATAACGGACATTTAAACCGCAAAATTTTGCTGCAAAGTAAACATTCTCCTTATACTGTTTTCAGAACCTTTTCAGAAAACCATGAACTCAATTTTTCAATCAAATTGGATTATGAAGGATTTGGCGGGTAAAATACGTGCGACTTGAAATTTCGGCTCAACGAAAACGCCATCTGATGCGACAATTGTCGCATCTATTTGCCTTCCTCAATTTTCTCCAATTTCCGGTTAGCAGCTTGGTTGGTATAGAAGGAGCTATTAAAACGCACTTATTCTAAATCTAATTTCTTCTTGATGAAGATTTCAGAAATCAGTCTTAGTCGGAAAAAGGATACTAATTGAAAGAAGTGTCTGTCAATTTTTAGCCAGAAGTTAACCTTTCTTGCGATTAAAATTTTAACGATTATCTTTAAATTTTTTCAACCAGAACACTTGAATATCAGAATCTTGTTTGCAGTCGTTAAGCACGCGTCAAGTATGTGACTTTGCTTCGTAGTTAGCTGAAATTAATGCTTTCCTCAAATCGGTTTCCAAAGACTCAATTGTTTCAATGTGCACCGTACCAAAAAGGATAGTTAAGTTTGAAAATTTTCAGACAAATAATTTTTGTGTGTTAACTAGCAATTTTTTCAAGAGCATTTCGAAATTCAAACTTGACGGAAAACAAGCTTAACCAATTTTTGTAATTTGTTCCGACCATTGAAAATGAGAAGAAAGTTTGTATTCGGGTCTTTTAGTTTTCTCTTTGCTCTTTTTTTTGTTTTCCACGCAAAATTAGCTACCACAAAGTGCTATATCAAATTAAAGCTCTTTCAGTCGTGGCTCGCACAAAATTTTCCCCAGTGTTGAGAAAAATTTGCCTAAAATCTTTGATTTTTTGTCTAACTTCAAGCGAATAATGTGAGCGAGCCTGCTTTTTTTTATTCTTCACCCAAAAAAATTACCGAAAAAAAATATCGTAATGGCTGGACTAATAATCAAATTAAGCCGTTTTTAAGCCTTGATTCGAACGACGTTAAAATATTCAACAAATTGTCCTAGTGTCGAGAAAAACCTATGTAAAATTTTTGAGTTTTAGTCTAATTTCCAGCCAGCAAAGCAGGTGGGCATGCTTATAATAGAAAGATAAGCCATTAATTCCAGTAAATTTGTTTTTTTGAAGGTTTTTTATTGCCGTCTTGGAAAAGACTACTAAACAAAGAAAAATCTGCAAAACTTTTTTTTCTTGTCATTTTCTACTACAAATGTTGAGCCAATTGCCTTTTTCACTGTGATTGTCAAATATGCCCAAATTTTATGTTTTTGTAAGGTCTTTTTATTACTCAAAAACCAACGCTAATTTGAAAAAATCGTGAAAAAGCTTTTTTAGGTATTTTTTATGGGTAGGGTTAGAACTTTTTGGGTTACCTGCACTGCAACAGGATTCTTTGATTTGGTTTTCAATTGAAATATTCTGAGGAAAAATTTCTTTAAAAAATAAAAAACAAACCTCCTTCAAAATCATCCGCCACACGCTATAATAAGTAGGAGTTATATGTTGCTATTACAATAACTTAATAATTTTATGATATTTTACCCATTATCAAACTACCCTATGCCATTCTACCCTATACTAATCCACCTCATACTCTAATCTATTCTATGCCCTGCAATTTTCCCTTTAATTAAGTTCTCGTTAAAATTAGCCGGTGAGAGCGCTTCGCGGCATTGAACGGTTTAATTTTTCGTGTAGCGTCCCAGCCTCTGTTACAACATTGACTGAGTCGTTTAATTAGATGATTTTGATTCGAAACGAATCTCTCTGCGGGGTGAAATTTTTTGCTTAATTTTTACGTCATAAAAAATCTACAAAAAACTAAAAGAGCACGCTGCTGCAAAACCCAAAAAAAAACTAGAAAAAAAAACATGAAAACATCCGAGTTTACACTTTTTTATATACTGGTAAAAAAACACCAAAAGTATTCAAAACTGTCTTTGATCGAATTTCAAAACAATAAAAGGTCATTTCAACAGGCTCGAGGGCTGTCAAAAATTAATTGCAAGCAATTACTTAAGAACCATCAACAATCCAAAGTGTTTTTTCGATGGAAAGAAAATACAAGCAGTTGAGACACAAACATTTATTAGACCAATGAACGCGTCAAAATTTGAGGCTTTTTTGTAAAGTCGTAGAGTTCAATAAAAACCGCCGTAATCAGGGGCAGTGAGGCTCGTTTCATAACGACAAGAGGAAAAATAAAGATTTTTCAATGATCGACATCAGCTTCCCTTGCATAAAAAGCGTAAGCGTAAATTCCAAAAAAAAAATTTGCCTCTTTTCTATTTTAACCATCAAAAATTAACAAATTTTTGACAAAATTAGCTGAAACTCTATTTTTAGCACCAAGCGTCTCATACCACTCAAAACTGATTCAGCCTTCTTGGCCCTGTGAAAGTTATTCAAAAACTGAAATGATATGGCAAAATTGAAAACTTATAGAGTTGTTAGACTCAGTAACACTAATGCGCAAAAAAATTAAAAACCACCCTTTTTATGTTCATTTCAGAAACATTTTCAACTTGAAGGATTTTTCTTGTGTCAAAACATTTTTTCTCTGTGAAGACATTTCGCCATGCTTTAAAGAAAGCAAAATTGCATTTAAAAATTTTTTATTTTTTTGAAGGACGCCAGTTATGCTGCTTCATTCAATGAACAGGTTTATTGTTTTAGTGCCATAAATTTTTCTTTCAGTACCTATCAACCATTGAACCACTTCCAATCAAATTGGATTCAGAAAAAAATCCAATGAACTACTTTCAATCAAACTGGATGATGAAAACAAATTATCGGTTACTTTGTGAGCGGCTTGAAGTTTCGGTTTAAGGATTACGCCGTCTGATGCGGCAATCGCCGCTTTTGTTTAGGTTTTCATCAATTTTCTCAACTTTGTGGTAGGCAGTTTGATAAGTTGTGAAGAATTTATTCAAACGCAATCATTCTCAATCTACTTTTTAATGAACATTATGAAAAAAAATTTAAAGAAGTGTCATTTTTCAGCTTGAATAACAAATTCTTTTGCGATTGACTATTTTACGATTACATTAAAATTGTTTCAAACAGAACATTTGAATATCAAAATCTTGTTTGCAGTCGACAAACACGCGTCAAATATGTGACTTTACTTCATTGCTATGAAAAGGTAGTTTTCCACAGTTCAGTTTGCACAGTCGATGACTCAATTTTTTCCCAATTTTCTGCGAGATGCTGTACCGAAAAAAGACATTTTAATTCAACGTTTGCAAAATTTCAGATTAGTAGTTTTTGTGTAATAAGAAACAATTTTTTCCAAATAAGCACCTCAAAAATGAAGAAGCACAAGCAGCTTATTTCATTTTTTGTTACATTTGCTTAGTTTCCAATTTAAAAAAAAAACAAGACTGCTCGTATCAGAGTAAAGCCCTGAATGTTCCGACAGCCTTTTAAGGTTTATGGAGCAGCAGAAATAACATTAAAAAATAAATGAAATAAAAAAAAGAAATAATTTTTTCTAAAATTTGAAATTTTTTTAATGAAAATCATCCCCACACACGCCATATAAAGTACAAAAAGATAGACTTTGTTCCTTGTAACCAATCAAATATGGCAAATAAACTTCGTTCAACCAATTTGGAACGATTGATAAGACGGATTAAATCTCCGCTTACGCGTTTATAGCGGGAATGCTATCGCGCGTTAATTGTCCCAAAATTGGTCAAAGTGGCCAAAATGGCAATCTTCAAACCCTCATAACTTTACGAAAAATGATCACAGGTGAAATATCTTTTCAAATTTAAGCTCAGGACAACAATACCTTTTGAATGATAAAAAAAGTTCCATCAAAAATGGCTAGTTAAAAAGTCGAAATTTGTCTGAAAAAAAAACCCACCCGAGCACAAATATTCCGTTACTTTCGTATCGAAAGTCGGAACAACAACAGCAGCCTAACAACAACAAATACATAGTGTGTTTTACCCTATACTTAGTTTATTTTTTAAGTCACTGGTGGGCGCGTTTCGCGCTTGTCGCAGCTTCGCGGCGATAACCGCTTTTCATCTTTCGGGTAAAGTTTTAGCCTCCGTTACAGGGCTGAAACTGCGGCGGTCAATCTTTGTGTTTACATGGCATTGTTGTCAAAACTCAGTAAGAGTTATTTTCCTAATTTATTTGGGGGTGAAACATTTTGAGTAGATAGCATAGGGTAGAGTGGAATAAGGTAATTTTGTATAGAAGACAAGGTACTACAGTGGTCTACGGTCGGAATAAAGTCACAGAATATTGATACTTTCAGTTGGTAAAGGAAAATTCCGCAAAAATCCCTCAAAATTCGGAGAAAAAAACTGAGCGTATATCTAAGCATAGAAACTTGAATGTCCATTTATTGGTCCTAACGAGGCCAAACTGAGTATTTTACGAACTTAAGGACACGCTCTAAGACTTTCTTTTTTTCTTTTCTTTGACCGTTCCGATAAAATTTTAACGTGTTTAAGACTTCTCTCTGGATTCCATAAACGTACGCACACCAAATTATGCACCTATCCAGTGCACATGTTAGCCTCGTAATATCTCTAATAATTTTTGTCACCAAAAACTTTGAAAAGTTATAAATATAAAACTAAAAATCAAGTCTTGTAATTAGCTTAGTCCAATTCGGAATAAATCTGTGTGCGGGATAATACTTCGTGTTACGATTTGACGTCATAAGTAATGTCTTCTAAAGAGCACTGAGGATAGTGTTTAACACACCCACTTGAAAACACAAAAAACCCATAGAGCAAA